ATTAATTTAAAGGATAATTTTCCTATTTTTATTATCATTGTATTGTTATAAGGCGAGTTAAACCAAATTATATTTCTTTTTCTTTTCTTTTTGTATGTATTATTGGTAGTTATATATTCTAATTTATTCATATATCCACTTTTTCTTAATGCCGATATATATAAACATTGTTTTATTTTCATTAGATATTTTTGTATTGCTAAAATTAGTTGCAATACTCTTATTAATAGATATTGGTATATATTTGAATTGGTGAGTGATTTGAGTTTTTGTTTATGTATATAGGGTTATTATTTGTTTTGTTATATAGTTTGTATGTATTGTTAATGAAATTATATGTAATATCTAGAAAAAAATAATATTTTTAAGATAGATTTTATGTCTATTATAAATCCTAATTTTTTGAATATTTCTATTATTTATTTTCTTTTTTTTCTATTTTTCTACCATTGCAATTTCTTATAATTATTAAACCATCATCTCTATATAAGCCTATATTTTTTATATTAATTATATCTGATAAATTATGTATAACGTATATTCCTATTATTTCGTTTTAACTTCATCATAATTACCCATGATTACGTCAAAGTTATTGCTATTGTGCTTTTTTAACCATATTTTATTGTTGTAGTATAATAGTTACTTTCTACAATGTTTAATTATATGTAATTCTTCTTGAATGTTTATGTGTTATTTAGCTAAATTTAACCCTTTAGTTAATGTATTTTCGGTAATTGATAGATAAAAAGTCTTTAATGTTTACTTGTATAAAAGTACAGTTATTTTGTTTGTCGTATTGTTGAACTAATTCATGGTTTCTTTTGTATTCTTCCATTGATTTATATTTAATATTTTTCTTAATTTTGAACATTTTTTGTTCTACTATTTGTTTGCTACTTTTTCCTATATTACTTTTTGTAGCATTTAATAATCTACATGTAGATTTATTTAAAAAATATCTTTATGAACTTTTAGTTTAATAAATGGTTCTTCCTTGGTTAATTGTTTCATTCTGTTATCTAATTTTAATTTTGTTGTATGTATGTACCTCTTTTCGATTAGTTTATTATAATTAACAGGATCCATTTTATATATTGTTCTTGATTTACCTGCTTGAATAAATAGATTATTTGAATTATTTATTAATTTAATGTCGTTAAATAATTGTTTTTGAAATTTATTATTGTTTTTTCGTGTTTTCATTTCATTTATAATATCATTTCAAAATCAATCAGATCTTCTTGATTTGGTTGACATTTTGTTGACGAAAATCCGAAATTCTTTCTGTTATTAGAGTTACTATCATCGCTAAGAAAGTAAAATACATTCCATTTTAAACATCTTATAAAATTTTGTATTTTTTCAATAATTTTAATTTTGTATTCTTTTATATTTGCTGTAGGAATATTTTTGTGGAATGTTCCAATAGAATAGGGTTTGTAGATTTTCCGGAATATGAAAAATCAACAATCTGTAAAGTGCCCATCTTGGAACAGTTTTTACACGAGATTCTTGATAAAGATTACAGACATCTTCGGATTACATTTATATTTTCGTTGTCCTGTTATTACCGGGAAGTAAAAAACAAAAACAAATCTATTTTCATACCTGAAGATGTCTGTAGGAACAGACGAAAGCTTGTAAAAAACTAAAAAAAGACCTTATGCAACTGGAATTTATAAATAGGGATCATAACATTCATATACAGTTTTCGGGGTTAATGTACTTTATTAAAATTGTTTGCGAAGATGTATTCTCGCCATTTAAATCATTAATTTCTATATCTGTGTTTTGTATGAATGATTCATGTAATGATATATATATATATATATATATATATATATATATATATATATATATATGAAAAACTGAAAATTTCTTGTGACGCGTTTCATCCGTTAGAATTTCATCGGACTGGGCTTTGTTGATATTGTGCAGGAAACGAGAGACGCAGGTAGTTTCAAAACTTTTGAAAGAATATTTTTTTGTTTCAATATAGACAAATTCATCTGTATTCTTATTAATCTCTTTTAAGTAGGTACTTCCACGAGATTGCTAAAAAAAGAGCATAGCATGATGAAAAACACGCCAAACTTGACGAAAACAAAATTTTATTGTCTAAATGTTTATGTTCTTATGAAGAGGAAAGACCAAAATTTATTTTAACTATTTTTAAAAATGTTTCCTTCTTTTTAGAACATTTTAAATTTTGATTAAAAAAAAACCTTGTTTCTGTTTCTGTCACCGGAACTAGTAAAATAACATATACAATTTTTAGCGCGTTTTTTTTTGTATGACACACATTAATTTGGAAAATCTTGCAAAAATACAAATAATTGACTGATATTAATGAAACTTTCAGAAACTATTTACGGATGATCGAAATTATTATAAATATGTTTTTTTTTATTAAATTCATGGCAGAAATTTTTTTTATATTTATTACCCCCAATAACTAATTTTATGAAAACTCTAGAAATTCGATGGAGTCCACATTAGTGATTACAATAGTTAAAAGCACAAGGCTTTGAGGAATGCAAATCATGTTTTTTTTGGTTTTTAATTGCCCCCCTACCTGAAAATCAGTTCTGAATTGTAACATACAAAACTCAATATAACAAAGATATTATTTAATTTCAAATGCTTTTATTTGCTTTTAGTTGTTTTTATCAACATGGAAAATGTTTTCTGAAAGCAAAAATATTTTCGATGAAAAATTAATTTTTAATACAATTATTTGTTATTTCTTTAATTATAATAGATTTTTACATTTAAGTTGTTAAAATATAAAATTAGTTAAAAGCCGCATCGGGTTTCCTAAGTGTCCTTATGAGATAGATTTTTTTAGCGCGTTGTAAATTGTATCATTTTGACTAATCTGAAGATCCGCATTAATTAAGAAATGTAATTTTGTGTTTATAATCGGGCTGTAATTATAAAGTACAGAAGGCCAACCAGAATACAATTAAGTTGCTTTATTTGAGTTAATCATTGTTCTTCGTTCTTAAGGCCTTTACTTTAGCGAAACACGTGTCGTGAAGTTAATTTGATTTTTCAATTTTAACTGAGAAGGGTACCTACAAGTGTCAGTATCATCTTATGAAATTTATATGATCTTATTTTTATATTAATCTCAGTTATGACATTTTTCCGTAAATGGAATATCAAAATTAATAATAAAATGAATGGAAATACAAATAACACAGTAAATGTAGTAAATATACATAAAATTATAGTATTTTATGTACAGTTCTGATAAAATTTCATAAGAAAGGTACCTATAAATTAATTAGATACTTTTCTTATGGAATTTAATCTCACTCTTAACAGTCTTATTTTAATTTCTTTATAATATATTTTCCATAATGCATTGTAAACGTATGGGTGAAATCTCAGTACAAAAAAAAAAAAAAAAATTAGAGTGCTGAAAGTTTTCCTTAAAAACAACGAGGTAAATAATTTGTTCACTTAAATGTAAATAACTTCACTTCTCTCCTTCCGTAGAAGGAAATATCCTCACGTAGTCCGTCAATATGTCATTCATCACCTGTCAAGTGACCCAAAAGTTTATGACCTGCGTTGTTTTATTTTCAAATTACATCTTTTCGGCGCAGAAGCTAAGTTAAGCTTGGTTCAAAATATCTTAAATAAACGTTATAATTTGTGATTTTCTTAAAATAAGTGTTGAAAAAATTATAATTGATTTTTAAAAGAATTTCAAACTGAAATTTTCATTTTGTTTATAAAATAGAAAAAAATGGTTGCCATGATCGATTTTGCTGACTCAAAAAAAAAAAAAAAACAAGATTTTAACGAAAATTTCGGACGTGCTAAGAACGATTAAAAAATGTAAAAAATACCCCCAAAATACGTTGATCTTAATAACATAAACATTCAGACGATAAAATTTTGTTTGGCGTCTTTTTCATCATGCTATGCTCTTTTGGAGGTACTTACTTTTAAGCCTACACGCTCCGTCAAATGATCCCTGGGAAACATCAAATTCACAATTTCCAGCATTTCTTTTTTACTTATCATGCACAGTAGTTATGGTAACGTACTGACTTACGGCAGTGTTTCATGATAGCAACATGTTCATTTGTTTTTCTCCACATTACCGTCGGTACGTATATAAGCGTGTAAACCTCATCCCCGGTATAGACGTGTATATACGTTTTCACAGAAAGTGTATTTCAGACAGAGACGAATAAACACGTCCAAAACAAAACGTTTAAAAACAAGCTACAGACGTCTTTATACGGCGATCTTGAATCTATTTTATGCCCTTCTGAGCTTGAAACGAGTCGAATTGTCAACTGATACGTCTGGTAGAAGTGTTAGCCACCGTTCAGGATCTTCAAGAAGCCTCAGTTTCTTAGTTACTATGAAACGTTTGTTCCAAAATAATTTGCGGGGAAGGGGTTTCTGGCAAAAATGTTTTAACTTTTAGTAGCTGATGATCTACAAGTTAAACAGCAGTAGCAGTAAGATTTTTTAGTTTTTTATTCACTATATTTTAGGAAAAAATATATTTTGTATTATGCGAAAGTACATTCGGCACTTTTTTTTATTCGCATAATTGTTTTTCTGGAAACAGCAAGCTCTTGGCTTGGCGTTTAAGTTTTGTTTTATTACAATTATATATATATATATATATATATATGAGTGAGTGTGTGTGTTTAGTCAATACGTACTTCCTTCTTGGAACACTTTTTATCCTAAGATTTATTTTCTGGACTCAGTCCAGATTTAAAAAAAAAGAAGAAATCATTCACATTACTTTTCTCTTTATTTTTCTCAGCGCTAAATGCCTTGTTGATATCTTTTAACATTTTAATGTATTAATACATTTCTCGGCTTGGAATTGTTTCTGTTTTACTACCTTCTAGTATGTAACACGTCCTTGACGTTAGAAATTCAGATATGTATATATACAATATGTATTATTATTATTATTATTATTATTATTGAGAAGAAATTTGAGTTTTCTAATTCTTATGGACGCCAAAGATGAGATAAGTAAAAAAACCCCAAAAAACTCAAACATATTTATACTTTCAATATGGGGTACATTTCAGTAGTGCCAAAATATTGTTATTGGGAGTGATTTATTCCATTGAGGTAGATAAACATAGATTTCTCAAGATTATACGACTTTTCCTTCTAGTCTAACAACCACCTATAACATCAGAGAGCATAGCTTACTCTGCTTTTGAGTATCTATCTATCTATCTATCTATCTATCTATCTATCTATCTATCTATCTGTTGTAGCATGCCTACAGACGATAATGGGTATGCCCCGATTCATATAAATACAGTAGTAAATGTCGGTCTGCAGTTGGAGATTCATTGTGGAATTTACCTGACTCACTTCTAGCAGTTGACGACTTCTTCTAGGCGCCACTGGCGAATGTGTTGTTCTTGTCCTAAGTATTATCGTTAATTGCCAACCTTCATTTGATTATTTTATTCAGTATCATTCCCTAGGTTACAACACTATCTATCTATAATTCTAAGGCGATTTATTTTTTAACCAATTTTTATTTTCATACTTCGGCCTGAATATTCCAAAAAATCTTATGAAAGACAAAATGCGACCTCCTGCAGGATTCGAATCTGAGGTTCCCCCACCCATTGTAGATGAAAGTAAATACCGTTTAAAAAAAAAATTTAACTCAAATATGGGTATCCACTAAAAATAACGTTTTAAGTGAAAAAATATAGTAGTTTCAATTCAGTTTTGCTTCTCCTAGACCGGTTGCCAACCAACACTGGAGGCCCCAGTGTACTATGTACCCCTAGCTATTGGGAAGAGATGGATTCATACTTTTCACAAGAGTATTCGCACGTAAGCCAATATAATGAACTCGACTGGATACGAAACTGGGCAGAGATGTATATTTCGAGAATCAGAAAAATCTGTATCTAAACTTTCTATTCGGTCTTTGATTGGGCGTCATGTCCTCTGTGGCCGAGAGATCAAAGCACGTCAGATCTAATGAAGGTTTCGCCTAGGGGAACACAGGTTCGAATCCTTCCGGAAAGCGCATATTCAAAATTTCTTGAATATTCAGGCCGGTACATGAAAATAAATAAATATACTGTTTAATAAATTGATATAATGGAATATGCATACACCTGTGTTCCCCCCTCACTGGAATATGATTGGCTGGTGTCCGTCATAACTACCGACGGACGTGTAGGATAGTCAAGAGCCTTAGTCTGGGAGCTAAGTCTATAACGACGCCCATTGGACTACGCCATTGATCGACACTTCTTACCTACGACTACGACGCGTACCAGTCGATTACTGCTACCCTATTCTACTTGGTTATAGTAGCCAAAACCACTTAGCTACTTCGATCAAATATATCCCTTTCCGGGACATATCATAAATAAACAGACTATTTACTCAAATATGGGTTTCCACTAAAAAACGTTTAAATAATGAAATATGTCGGATTAATAAACGAAAAATCCCTTCTTAAAATATATATATATGTATATTTGATATATGATAGAAGTTCCATGATCTATGAATCACCTACGACTCGGTTACTTCCATTTACTAGACTGGTGTTGAGACAATGTAGAATACAAAAACCTGATAACAAAGAAAAAACAGAGTTCAAATTATTCAAATCTAATTTAAAAAGAACAGTTGAGCCAAAAAAATATCAATCGTTCATCAACTTAACGTAAATAACTTTCTGGTGCGATAGTGTAGATTAAAATCCGTCTTTCTGATAATGCTGTTTGGTCGACGTCACATCATTATCATCATGTATACAATTAGCATTTTCCGCTAATTGTATACATGAATTATACATATGCATTTTCTGCTTTGGTCAGCACTGCCCTCAATCTCAAAATTGTGGTTCATGTTGACATTCAAGGCAGAATAGGGCAATGGCTTGCTGGTTCCTTTTTGCACCGAGGATGTTGGGGTTACTTCGTCCCCCGTCTCTCAGAAGTTAAAGAAGCAGAACCTAGAAGTTTATCGATATAGAGAGTGCAGACGTAGGAATCAACATTGCATTTGAACTGACAGTTTCACTCCTCACGTAAATCTTCGGGTCATGTGTTGAAGATCGCTTGATGCAGAAACTGTCTTTCTGTGAATCCACCAAAGCCAAAAAACAGCACGTATACTCAAACTTGATCTTCCCCGGAAAAAACATAAAACAAATATGCTTTGAATTAAGGCGTTTTTTTTCTTGACTCGTTCTCGGAGTTTCGTTCCTGCAGGCACGCCGACCCAATGCACGAAAATGTGTAGGGCTGTTCACTGATGCATATCTCCTACGGTTTACGCATTGGGGTCAGGTTTGTGGAGTCCTAAATAAAAATGGTTTTGAACACTATTTTCTGATTGGAAGCCGCTGAGTCCTGCAAATTAATCCTAGGTCATTCGTCTGGGGCATAAGCAAAAGCATCGATCTCCTGGTGAGGATCAATCTCACTACACAGTTGAAAAGACAGTTTACTATTAATTTCCTCATGCCGAGTCACCCAAAGTAATTAATTGATTGATACGTTTTCTACAGCTTTTCAACCCATTACAGTTTATTTGAAGCCAGAAAATACTTTTAGATCGTAAGGATTCCCTTTTTTTTTTTTAAAGATAATAATGCTTTAATATTTGCTAATTAACTCATAGCTAAGTGGCGAAGAGGTGGATTCATACCTTTGCCAAGTGTATTTGCATATAAGTTAATATAACTAACCTAACGGGGATTGGAACTCGGATCTCCGATTAACAATTCTGAGCCATTATCCATTGCACCATCCGCACATCCAAGCTTACAGCACCAGTTATTCCCAAATGATCACCTATCTGATCAGGCCCTAAGTTGCTTAACTTCGGTGATCGTACGGGAACCGGTGTTTCAATGCGACGTGGCCGTGAGCCTGCCCAACGTAATGGCAATGGTTAGATTAACCGTTTCCTTATAAGGAAACTGTTGTATCATTCCTACAGACGATAATGGGTATGTCCCCATTCACATAAATACAGTAGTAAACTGTTGGTCTGCGGTATTGCCATAGAAAAGAGGTATGTAATCATTTTTATTAAAATAATAATACCTTTGAGTATACTTGTATGTAATTAGATCAGATTGATTCAAGTGTTGCAGACTTGTAACAGACTGCGCAATAAGGTAAAAAAAAACCCAACTTTATTCCTATTTTGTTAGTCTTTTTCTATTTTTAGTTTCTTTCGTTTCTCCTTTATTTTCGATACTATATCTATTTATGACATAGGTATTCAGGCTCCACAGTTTCATGATCTTTTTAGCTTTAGAACTACAATATTTATTCCTTGAATTTCTTTCTCGCTCTTTCATTCCATCTGCTTTGGTCTACTTTTTCTTTGTTTATTGATTTATTCTTTTATTTTTTTCACTGCTTGTTTTTACCTTCGTTTTTTTTTTCGTCTTCCACAAAATTTTAGCCATTTTTTTTCTTCGTTTTAAAGGATATTTTATACTTTCTTCTCTTCCTTTCTCACCTTTCAGTCTTTTCCTACTTCATTCCTGCTTTCCTACTTCTTTTCCGCCTTTTTCCTTCCTTCCTTCCTTCCTTCCTTCCTTCCTGCTCCCTATATCTTTTTCTTCCCGAGTCCCCGTCTTTCTTATTTTCGTTCACCCTTTATTTCCTCTCTGTATCTTACTTATTTTTATTCAGCTTTTCTTTCTTCCGTATTTTTTATTTTCGTTCATCCTTTCTTTCTTTCTTTCTTTCTTTCTCTTGCTTGTTTTCATTCAGCCCTTCCTTGCTTATATTCATTTATTCTTTCCTTCCTTCCTTCCTTCCTTCTTTCTTTCTTTCTTTCTTTCTTTCTTTCTTCCTTCCTTCCTATTTATATTCATTTATTCTTCTCTTTCTTCCTTCCTACTTATCTTCCTTTTTGCTTTCTTACATTCATTTACACTTCCATTGCTTACTCTCTCTCTTGTTTACTTCAATTCGCTATTTCCTTTCTTCTCTCCCTCTCTTATTTTAATTCGTATCTTTCTAAGATGATTTACTAAACGCGAGCCCTCACTGCCAAACTCCTCTCGCTGAGAGATGGCTCGTGATTAACAAAGGGGGGATTGCTGCGCACCAGCCTCATCGATCAAGAACCCTTTTCTTTATTGCTGATTAAATGCCGACATGTCAGTCGATCACCAAACTATTGGCCTGCCTGTCTGTCTCCTTATGTTGGACAGTGTTGGTCCTTTCCGAAACCTGAAATTTCTCTTGTTTCAATTGTCTTTGATTCCGGCTGGCAGAAATAATTGGAGCCAATCGCAGGCAAATGCCAATCTTTGGAAGCTATTAAAAGTTCCGTTCCAGTGTAGCAAAGTCAGCTGTTAGCCTTTCGTAACGACTAATCTTCTCTTCTTCAACGTTTTATTTCCCGCCGCACTGACAGATTGAAATTCGGGTTTTTTTTTTCATTTTCACTCTTTATTTTTTTCTTTTAATTTACTCTGATATTTTTTAATGTTCACTTATTTTAATTACTTATCGCGTTTACTTTTATAATTCACTACTTTTCGTTTCTTCTATCTATCTATCTATCTATCTATCTATCTATCTATCTATCTATCTATCTGTTTAATTTTGTACATATCCTCTATCTGTTTAATTTTGTACATATCTATCTATCTATCTAGCTCTGCCGAAGGGTAGGGTTTCGTTCGGGGAGGTTGACGGAACTAGCCCGCTTGGACGGGTTTAGATGGGTTTTATTTTTTTCTGGGCCTACGGGCTCAGACATACCCACATTAAAAGGCCTTGTGCCACATTCAATTCCCTGTGGATGAATTGATAAATACCATCTATCTATCTATCTATCTATCTATCTATCTATATATCTATCTATCTATCTATCTACTAAAATGTTCTACTTCTTATCTATCTATCTATCTATCTATCTATCTATCTATCTATCTATCTCAGTCTGTTCGCATCTATCTATCTATCTATCTATCTATCTGTTTAATTTTGTACATATCCTCTATCTGTTTAATTTTGTACATATCATTCATCTATCTATCTATCTATCTATCTATCTATCTACTAAAATCTTCTAAAATGTTCTATCTATCTATCTATCTATCTATCTATCTATCTATCTATCTATCTATCTATCTACTAAAATGTTCTACTTCTTATCTATCTATCTATCTATCTATCTATCTATCTATCTATCTATCTATCTATCTATCTAATTACAAAAATGTTATACTTCTTATCTATCTATCTATCTATCTATCTATCTATCTATCTATCTTAAAACCAAGTTTCTGTTGTTATCTATCCTCATAATTTTTTACTTTCAACCAACTCTTCTTTCAGTCATATCATACATCTCATTCATTAAAAACATTTTAGCGATAACACACTAACTTGTGTGACTCTCGAGTTTTGTATTAGGTCACTTGTATCTATCTAATTATCTCTCTGTTTCGCCTTCTCTTTTTTTTCTTTCTTCCTAGATAGATTGATACCATCCGATTCGCATCTATCTATTCTCCAACTATACAATTTTTCTTCCTTCCTGGATATTTTATTTAGTTTAGCTGAGTACGGTGCAAAGACAAATGGAAAAAAATGCGAATAGTATAATTGTCTTGCACCAATTCTCTAAATGAAGTGGATCATCCTGTTTTGAAAATCATCATTTAAAATCCTATCTTTTGACCTAGGCTTAACAACAAAGCACTGTTGAATACAAGAGTGAGGAATAAGCTGCTATCTCCGTCAGTCTTAGATTATTTCTTATTATCAAGTCAAATGGGGAAAAATGGTAGCTGGAATATTTGCGTACCCTGTTACAAATAGGCCACTTTTCCAGTTTCACCTTCGTTCAAACATTACATCTAATGCTACTAGTTTAAATAAAGCAAGAAAAATAAGATGAAAAGAATACTAGTCAAAAACGAATAATTTTACCAAACTTTACTTAAGATATTTAAATAATTTTACATTTAATACTACTATTGTAAATAAAGCAAGAGAAATATAACAAAAAAAATACTAGTCAAAAACGAATTTTAAGCCTTACTTAAGATTGTAGTGAGAAAAGTACGCAGGCGTAGGCTTTAAGAAAGCTTTATTCAACTATTTATTCATTATTATAAAATATACGATAATTGTGGCAAGCTTTATTCAACTGAGAATACAAGGTTGACGTATAGTGTTCTTTATAGTCCCAGTAAACGAAAATAGCTCTCTCAAAGAGAGAAGTAACGAAACAAGAAGAGACCACTCTTGATTATTCATAACAAAGATTTTAAAATAATTTTACATTTAATAGTACTATTGTAAATAAAACAAGAGAAATAAAATGAAAGAAATACTAGTCAAAAACGAATAATTTTAACAACGCTTCACTGAAGATATTTAAATAATTTTACATTTAATACTACTACTGTAAATAAAGCAAGAGAAATAAAAAGAAAGAAATACTAGTAAGAATTTAATATTCATTAATAAGTCTTCATTTAAAAATTTAAAAATTCCATCTAATACTAGAAATGTAAATAAAACGTCGTAAAAATCCTGGGTATGACGATAAACTACGTCGGGCAGCACAATCACCGATTGGGAGATTGGAGCTTTTGAGGAGCGTGGAACCTACTCTTAATTGTCGTTGTTATCTGGTCCACCCTGATCCGGGGTGGTAGCATCTGTTAGGGTTCCATCTATGGGTAAATAGTGAGACCCTCACAAAAAAACAAACAAAAAACAAAACAAAAGCATTAAGAAAGTATAAATATACATTTTAATACTAAAAATACAAGCAGTACTTTTTTTTATATAAAAAGACCGGCAATAGATAATCAGCAATTTTATCTGTATTTGAAGCCATAAATTGTGTTCCAAATATGTAGATTTCGTCGTTAAATAACCCATAGAGATGTTGATATGTCGTCAAACAAACGAAACAACTAACATGAACTTTCATGACATTATTCCATGTAATATTCTACAATTTCTTAAATCAAACTGTATTCCAAAATATTTTAAAACACAATCACCGTATCTAGTAATTATGTCCATACACTTGTATCTGCACAAAAGCTGAGTATCATCTACCATGTATTCAATTGTGAAAGCAGAATAACATATTAGTTGCATTACTTACAAGTTCCCGAGAAAATTAAATTTCGGTATTAAATGATCCATAAGGAGTTGATATGCCATTAAACAAAACAGCAAAAATCAAAAAATGAAGAAGAGACTTGAGGTAACAGAAATATGGTTCTACAGAAGGATGGTAAGAATGCCATGGTATGAAATGGGAGCAAAAAGGACACTTAGTCTCAATAAGAGTGAGTTGAAATTTTCACGGCACATAATCAGGAAAGAGGGCTTAGATTGTCACTGAAAGGACATATTAAAGGCCTGATGGACAAAGGAAAGCAGAACATAGACTACTTAACGACCTTGTGGAAATGATTGTCAGAACAGGGATTAGGGAAGATGACAAAAAGATAAACTTTACTAAGAGCTACAAAGGACAGGAGATTGTGGAGAGCCATGGACGCCAATGTCTCGAAGAGACGCAGTACATAGAAAAAGAAGAAATCGCCCGGTTGATAAATCATTTATAAATTTGTTCAAGATGCATGAAGTAAACATGATGAACAAGTAAAAATCCAACTGCCGAAAATTTCATCTTTCAATAGAGAGTGCGATTGATAAATTTTAATTTTAATTTCATTTTAACAGATATATTTACCAAAATGACACAAAACTATCTTGAAATAATAAACAGTAGATTTGTTCAATTTAAATCGCCATCGGCTCCTGACGACTTCGGAATCTTCTGCAACTCTTCTGGACGGTCTCCTTGTTTAAGTTGGTGAATGCTGCCTTAATCCTTATCTTCAGTTCATCTTTGGGTTTACAAGAACTTTTGTTGGTCACTTGCTCATCTGTGTCCCACACATAATCATCAAGGTCAGATCTATGTGATCGCAAAAAAATTGTCTGACAGCCATGACTGGGTTCTCCTACTTGTGTGGCATGGTGCTGAGTCCTGTTCCCAGACATAGGGTCTCCAGCAGTCATTCTCTTGATCCAGGGCAACACTACCTCCTCAAGGCATTTAATGTAGGCCTCCGTGTTGAGTCTGAGACCCCGTGAGAAGATGTATGGAGATATAACGTCGCCATCATTAGTGATCCCTCGAAAAACCATGATGTTGACTGGATATATCACCCAACTCTTTCCGAATCCTCTGCGCTGTTCTCAGATTGACACCCAAACACTCTGAAATGTTCGTATTAGAGCTTCCGGTGCGATTACCAAGCAGTATAGATAGACGTTTCCAATTTTCTAGCGGGGTGAATTGCGTCATGGTGCTCTTTTTTCTCACAGACAGTGCGCAACTGAGCTTAATATAACGCGCAGTCGACAAAATCAAAAAGAAACACCGCACATGCGCGAAATAAAAAAAAAGATATAAAATGGCGACAATTTACCCATCGCACACTGTAGAACTGAAAATGCGGAAATTTACGTCATCTGCAGCAGTTAATAAGTTATGGTTAAATTTGCTTTAAGCCTTAAACTTTACAATAACAAATAGAAGATTTGAAGAACAGTGCCCTAGAGCAATATATATATATATATATATATATATATATATATATATATATATATATATATGTGAAAAATATATAGAAAATAGGAAGGAACTGGTTAGGTAAATAATCCAACGTCCCTTAGTATTTTAGTTATTATTTTTAAAAAATAGTGCTCGATACAATTATTTATTTAAAAATATGATTCCAAATCGCTACATAAGAGGTCTCATATTTCAAAATATAATCCTTTAAATTCAACTCAATTTAATTTAAAGGATTATATTGAAGTTTTCGGCTCTTGTTTTGAAACATGAGACCTCTTATGTAGCGATTTGGAATCATATTTTTAAATAAATAATTATATATATATATATATATATATATATATATGTGTGTGTGTGTATATTTAAATATGTTTGAAACAGTACAGAAGCGTATTAAGGCAT